TTTTTGCGTATAAGTATATAAACTACGATAGAGCCAGCTATATCGTTTCTGTCTCTAAAATCTATTTAACAAAGTCCTCTCTCGTAACTGCTCGATAATTCATCTCTTTCATAACATGAAATTATATATATATATTTGTATCTTTATATATATATATATATACTCTCTTTTTTTTTATATATATATGTATAATATCTTAACTCTATATTTTATATTTATATATGTACACGCGCATTATATGTGTCTAATGTGTAACGTATGTATGTATGTATGTGTGTGTGTTTTTTTTTTATGTGTGTGTACCTGCGTGTGTGTTTGCATCTATACTTTCGATTTCACCAAATTAATTATTTCAATAATGAGAATCGCGTCTTTGCCTTTTTCGTGGTCATCGAGAAATACATACAACTAACTTCTGGCTATATAAATTTAATTGTCATTAAAAAACATACTTTCTTTCGTATCGCGATTAATTTATTATAAAAAAAGTCGTATAAGAAAATGATCGGATAACAAGCGCGAAGAAAGATTATGTTAATAAGGATTTTCTAATTTTTTATTAAGTGAGTAAATTAATTACGGTGCCTTTATATATTCACTTGCTTCTAATTTGCATCTTAAATTCAATTTTTCCCACTTTTTATGGCAGTTTTAAAGAGGAACTATTTGTGTTTTAAAATTTCACACAACACAGTTGCGTTCGCGAAACTAATGGCTAATGACGCACATCAGATACAATATATTCTTTTTGTGTTTCGGTTCACAGAAAAATATTGCAAGCTTTTTTTCGTTCGGCGCTTTAGACGAAGATACCGGCAATCCATAAAACATGTAAGAAATGGTTTCTTCAAAGTGTAAAGAAAAAAGTTTTTGATTTAAATCACGAACTTCCGATCACTCGAAGAATATTATAGAGAATATCGAGTTACAGGAGGTACCGGATAAAAAGTCAAACACAAAAAGAGCTCGCAAAGTGACTTGAGAAGCTGTGAGTGTTTGAAACAAAAATGGAAAAGGTTCCAAAAAAAAAAAAAAAAAGGGCAAGTGAGTTCCGCACATTCTCAGCGTTGACAACAAAATGAGCGTTAATATAATCTTGTTTTTGTTGTCACGTTTGAAAAAGATTTTTTGCATCAAATTATTACGAGAGACAAAAAAAAGTCGATCGGTAATCATAAATGACAAAAATCACGGATCGCGAACGAGTCATTAACCTTCGACAGCAAAACCAAATATCCGGTCCAAAAAGATTTTGTTGACGCGTTTAATAGAATAATATATATAAAAGAAATGATGAACTATTATAATCTGGGCGAAACAATCACAGCTGATCGATTTTTAAGCGACGAGTTGAAGCAAAAAAAAAGGCCATACGCAAAGAAAGGAAGGAGAAAGGTGATTTTATTCCACGCTCGATCTCACGTTGCAAATTAAACGAAAGATTTATCATTTTTCATCTCAACTGATAAATTTTGTCTCACACCCGATTAGACCTATTCTCCTGAACTGGACTCGATCATTTCTTCTATTTGTTCTCTCCAGCATCCGTCTGTGTGACAAACACTTAAAAACTATTAGAAGATATGAAAAACTTCTTCGACGGTTTTTTATTGAATCAAAATCATTTGCATTTTTTTTTTTTCCGCAATGGAATACGACAGTTGTCTAAAAAGTGGACCAAAGTTATAGAAAATAACGAAGATCGCAATTTGTGACGAATTTACCATTGTATTACGTAAATAAAGTTCATAAATAAAGTTTGAATTTTTTTTTCAGAAAAGAGACACCGAATTAATTTGCACACCTTAGAGATACTAAACTATAACTGATGTGCGGAAATTGAAATTGAAATTTCTCGATTTTTCACGAAAAAAAACTCGTCACGCGCAAAATAAATTCAGAGATTCGCATAAAGATGCGATTCAATAAACACGTTTCGCAAATTGTTTTGATTGTCATTGAATTATCAGATCTTATTAGCAAAAACGCTATTCTCGTCGCGCAGCAGTTTAATAAAACGTGCGTATCTTCTTCCGCCGTATATCATGTATGGCCAGTATGCAATTAGTTATGCAAATATATACACATGTAATATTACAATATATATACAGATCTAATATTGCTGTTTGGCTTTTTGTGTTCATACAAATTTGCGAGCGTAGCGCCATTCCTATGTAACAATGCTCTAATTTGCATGAGAAAGTTTCCTTATGATGAGTAAACAATCTCGTCAACCTGATGAACAAATAAATTTTTAGTCGTATATAACATTTTGTTGTTCTTCTTCCAAACTTTGTTTGTTTATTCGTCGCGTTTTCAATTCGCGAGAAAATCTGCGCAAGTTGTCGAATAACCACGCGATGACCGAAATTAATATTACAAAAAAAAAAAAAACAATCGTAAAAAACTCTTCGTCAAAAATAGTTTGACAATTTGCTTTGTGTGATTTAAATAATGCAACGCGAAATTTATAATAGAAAAGTAATTGGCGAAGAATACTAGCTGACGGTCGGATCGCGCGAAACGAATTGGAAGGATTCGGTTTCAATTCGAAACCGCTTGTGAATCACACTTTGCTTTCAGTATGCAACAGATCGCGACGACAATTTCTATCTTGGATAGAACGACTATTACATTTGCAATTCCATTGACTGTTTGCCGAGCACGACGAGATGATTATTTCGATTTGTGTTCGATTTCACTGTCTCGCTCTCTATTATATATGTATATATATATATTGTATACGTATAATCACGTCCAGCGTTTTTTTATTCATAACATTTCTGTTTAATAAAAATTAAAACAAAAAAAAACAATAACAAAATTTCAAGGAAGAAAAAAACGCAGATGTCACCACAGTCAAATCGGAAACTTAAACGTCTCACAACCAATGAACTCCATTATGCCGGTGGTGTCCAAACCACGTGTCAAAATTGATTGATTTTCTTTTTTTTTTTTTTTAAAAAAAAAAAAAAAAAACAAATCGAGCAATTGACGCGAAAAACCTTCAAGTTTTTTAGTAATCAGGTACCTCCGCTATTGCAAATATCATGTTCTATCTATAGGAAAATGCGTATATAAACATCGCAGAACATCGGCAGATAGACGGACACCAAGTAGATTTATTCGGAGATTTCAACAATCGAGCAAGTACATGTATTTTATAAAAGTTTTACATCATACCAACGAGAGAGAGTTTCAATTATATTCCGGCAAATACTTTCGCAGATTTGTTTTTAGAAAAAAATAAAGAATTATACATATATATTTTTATTTATTTATTTATTTATTTGTTTATTCACGCGCTACGTTTGTTTTTTCAAGAGAAGAGAGGAAAGAGCCCTCAAAACACTTGGTTCTCTGAAGTATTATTTAGTTCTCAAATAGGCACTATACAATTGTATCTCTTAGAATCTACACATGTGATTTTTTCGTTTGTTGAAAATAAACGACAAAATGAACGATTTTAACTCATCCGTTTTTTCATTTTTTTTTTTTTGTTTTTTTGTTTTTGATGCACGAGATTTTCCTCTTGTCGTCGTAACGTACGCATTTACCGCTTGAGAAATATTTTTTTTGGAAATCTGAAAAAAAACCTGCTGAGAAGATTCGCGTGCTTTTTTTTTTTTTTTTTCACATACCACACGCATGTGATTCTTCGATCGTTCTCTGGATTGGACACCACCGTTACATCATCACAAATTCGTGCGTGCGAAAAACGCACTGTGGGCTTAACAATTACTCTTAATAATATTACAACAAACACGCCGCGTCCCGTCTCGTCGAGTGGAACGAGCGGCTTTTTAGTTCATCGACATGAACCGGTTTTTTTTTCCATGGCTTGCGAATGAAAAGGCTTACGAATCTAAGAGTCGGCCATGATGCTAATCGCGAAGTTCGCTATCGGCTATGCGATGTGTGAATCTACATCCTACCTACGTGTGGGTATGCGTGTGTATGTGTGTATGTGTGTGTGTGTGTATGTGTACACAAAGAGTACTCCTATTCCGAAGAATTTCGATGTATCTCGAAGAAGCCGTCGTAAGCGATTAAGTCGTATTTATAAAGATTGCATTTATTTATTTCACCTCCTCTCTCGTTAATCAATAAACGCTTTTTTTTTTTGACTTTGTTTTCGAGGCGAAAAAAACATTTCCACCTCGCCCGCCTTCCTCTCGTCTTGAAAAAGCGAATTAGCGGAGAAAATGCGGAGAGCTTGTTCTCTCTTTTAAAATATTGGCGTATTATATTAATTAATAATTAACCAGGGCATATGGACATAATAATTATCGACATGTTGTATATTCGTTAAAAGGCGAACGTCCGCCCGCTCGAGGAGAGAAGCAGAATCAGTTTTTTTTTTGTTTTTTTTTTGTTTTTTTTTTTTTTTAACTCGGTTATTATAATCATCACCAAGTTGAGGTCCAAGCACGCGCTGGAGGGGGAGGGGGGAACGGCACAATCGCGTGCTATAAAGGCGATCAACAAACGAATCTTCCTTGGTTCGCACCCGGAACGGATGACACTATATTGCGCAAAAACATGTGTGTCATCTTCTCGGACGTGCAAAACGAGAAGGACCAACGGAACAAGTTAGCGATCGTTCGATGTGTACGTGTGTGTAACATTATTATAGAATAAAAACAATTCGCGTCGCGTCGTCGTACGCGGACGCGAAACTCGCGCGTTTTCCTCGCGCGAGAGATCGAAACGCTAAACTACCAAGCGCGTATCGGGTGACGAAAAAACTTTTGATCAGTCGATCGTATCGTCGGCGGATTGTCTCGACAAAGAGGAAGAATGAAAAAAAATTAAAAAAAAAAAATTGACACGAAAAGAATTTTTTTCACAAATACTCCCTCGATCTGGTCGGTGGTCTTTTACGCTCGGATCTCTCGGCGGTTCTTTCGGAGATCCTGTCGCTCGGCCCGCCGACGGTCGAGTCCCGGTCGTCGGTGCACTCGAGCATTTGCGTGGTTTCCGTAGCTTCCGACGGGCTTACAGGTTGCGTGGCAAGCGGGGCGAGCGGAGCCGCGCCCTTGTTGCGCGATTTGCTACGTCGTTTGCGAAGAATTAACGGCCCCAAGGCGTTGGAATCGTCGCCGCGCGACGTGGAGGCCTGTGCGAGCCGTTCGAGCAGTTCCTTGTTTACGTCCCGCAACGACGACGGCTGATGATGATGATGATGATGATGATGATGTTCCTGACCGCTTTTTGACACGCGTTCTGTCGCCGTCGACTGCTCCCGATAGCCCTCGCTCGGCGTCGTGGACGTCGACGTGGTCGCGATCGACGGTTTGTACTCGACGGTCTGAGTCGCGGACTGAACTAAAGTCACCACGCTCGGTGTGACGGGTAACTGATTCTGAACGCCGCCGCTGTTGCCTCCCAAGCTGAAGTTCGTAGTCTTTTGTTGTTGCTGAGAACCACCGCTCCCACCGCCGGACGGTGCGCCGCCGGATGCCGGTAGTCTGTTCATTAGCGCCTGCAGCATATCCTCGATCTTGGCCAACTTCTGATTAACTCTCTGCACCTCCAGCTTCAGATCCACCTTCACTTCCAGCACCGCCGCAAGGATCTCCCGCTCGTGGCTCGGTTGTTGCGTAATTAAACCGCCGTCGTAACTCTCGAGACGTCGCAGCTGCAGTTGCTTCGAGTCCACACTGAGGGTCTGTTGTTGTTGTTGCTGCTGCTGCTGCTGTTGCTGCTGAGCATCCTTCGATTCGGCATTGTCGCCGCTCTCCTCAATCGTGCCGCTTAACTTGCCGAGTTTCGGGAAGACTTTGTTGGTGCCGGCACTGGAACTCGGACGTGAGTCTCTCGCGCTGAGAGATCGCTTGAATGTGTCGCCGGCCGTGCCCGTCTCGCTACTGGAATCCAAACTCGAGCTACCTGCAACGTTATATAAAACGTTCGCGCCATAGAACACAAATTTATACGTTCGCGTGATAATTAAAATTTTTTTAATTGTTTCTTAATTCACAATTAATTTCTTATGTGTGTTTTTTTTTTACCTAACAAACGGCCCCACTTTCCGCTCGGTCGCGTTTTCGCGAGCGTTGTTGTTCCTCCCCCTTCCTCGGCGGTGGACCCCTTTCTGGCGTGTGACGTCTCGCCGTCCTTTGCGTCCTTACCGTCGCCCTTTTCCACATCAGTGGCAGTGTGTTGTCGTTCTCGGCGAAATCTACACGGTATAATCAAAAGAGAGAGAAAGAAAAAAAAAACATTCATTTTTATTCTGCATTATCGGTAAATTGCAAATTAGTGTTTTACGTATAAGGAGAAGAGAAAGGCTGATTTATTTGGACCCTAGAACATTTGTGGATCATAGAGAGCAATAAGAGTACAAATGCAGAGAGAGGGACGAGAGACAAGTGTGTGTGGTAAAGGAGTGCTGGTCGAAAGATCATTCTTACGTGAAAAACACTTGATTGTCTGTTCTCTCGCTTTTTTTTTTCCTTTCTTTTTTTTTTTTTTTTTAATAAATTAATTCGCCGCGTTTTTTTGTTTTTCTCTTCCGACACGATTCAATCCACCCCCTCCCCCTCGAACTAGTCCGGGGTCAAGCTAATCGGGTCACCGCCGGGTAGAGCAGAATGCGGACCGCCTATTGAGGGGCTAGAAAAAGGAGGAAGGCAGCTCCGGTACGGTTGGTTTCTCGAGCGACCTACGGTGCGACGTGCCTACGGGATCCACGGCTGGCGGTGGTGACGACGACGACATTGGGCAAAACATACGGGGAAAAAATTTTGGATAACGTTGGTAAACGTCGACGGTAATAAAAAAGTTCCGAGTCGATAATTATTTAATTAAGCTCTCGATATTTTGAAGAAATCACGCGGCAGTTTCTTTGTAAAACTCATTACTTTACTTGCGCGCTAATTTTGAAAAAAAAATATATAAATCCGAACAGAACATTTTTTTTATTTTTTTCAAGAAATCGGAACGCTAACGCCAGACTAACGCGCGCACTCGCGACTCGATAATTTATTATGTGACATTTTTTATAATGACGGAAGAGAAACTCGCATTGATTTTGTTATGCGTGATTAGCATTAAATTATCTCGAATTATCGGGATTGGACTGACCGGGTCTGTGAGACCCACGCAACTTTGATATCAAACGTCTCCGCGAAAAATCAATATTTTTCAATTTTGTTTTTTTTTTAAATCGAAAGTTCGAACAATTCTGCATCGATAAAAAAAATCTCTTTAGTAGTTTTTCGTAGAGATATATAAGCATTAAAAAAAAAAACAATTTCTACCAGAGACGCCGATGCGCAATTTTTTTGAACGGGTCCGGAAGACCCGTGTCAGTTCCACGGAAGGTTGAAGAACGCGCATAGCGCACGGCGTTAGCTTAATACTGCAATTTTGTTTGTAATTACCGGAGTTTAGATTAGCTCGCGCTACATTAGACGGGGGCTCTTCCACGCGCGTTCTGAAACTTTTATTTCGATTCAAATCTAAATTGTGACATTTAATGTAATCTCAAGGAACAATTCTTGAAAAGACTTACGGTCTGATCAGTTGTTTTTTTTTAATTGTTGATTCATATTAAAATGAAAGCGAGTTTGATCATTCTTTGACGTGTGTTCTGACCTCTTCGAAATCGAACAAGCTGTAGAAACACAAATTTCACATCATTCTCCGACGAACGAATTACTAAGAAATAAATCTTTTTTTTTCTGGTTTTATTTCTTAAGACGACACGTCGATACCAGTCAGCGTCGACCAACGTTTTTTGGTGTGTGTTTTTTTTTGTGATAACAAATAACCGTTATGAGAAATTGCCCGACAAACTTAAGGAATGCCACGGTGTCAAATACACACAAGTGTGCGCCGAATAGTTGTTTTGTTAATTATTGTTGTTCAGTCGCTGTATTTTTTGTGTTTGTATGCGGCTCGCGTGTGGGCAACAGAAAACTTTATTAAAAACGTCATGTTGTGTTTTAAAGCGCGTTTGTATTCGCGGAATAACTTTTGTCTCTCGGAAATCAATCAATCAATCCGACAATTTAATAAAAATTTCAATATTATCAGTATTAATTAATTATTAATTAAGACTTAATTGACTACGTTCAGTTCTAATTAAGCATACTCAGTATTAAATTGAAACTTCTCAGGTTTGTCTTTCTTCAAAAATATATGAACGCAGTTTAAACGTTAAATCCACTAATATAAATTGAGTGTTTCAACTTGCATAAAGACACAAGCAATTATCGAAGACTAATTAAATAATTTAGATATGTATATAAATATTCTTCAAATTCTATATATAAAATGCTATAGAATATTAAAATCATGCATATGTATATATATATACATATATATGTTAACAGAGGCGACTTTATTTTTGAGGTTTAATTAAATGAAAAAACTCTTCTTATCAATTACAGGAACTACTGCTTAATTAAACAAATAACGAAATGTCAGATTAAATTAATTATATATCTCTCTAACATATGTGTGTAATTAAAAATATTATCACAATCTCTTTTGGTGAAAAATTCGATTTTGCCATGCACTGTAAATCATTAATTGTCTATCAGTTTAACTATATAGGTGCCTTCGATCGCGCTGCAGTAAATTATCGTCAAACAAAAACAAAAAAAAAAAAAGAAATCTATATCGCAAATAATGCGAGCGTTTGGGATATTATTTATCTTAGAAAAAAAATAAAATAAAATAAAACTATCTCTCAGAGGAATTATTAGCAATAAAAGCAACGATGTGTACGAGTCAGGCAATTGAGGATGCGAAAAATTAAAGATGTACAAAAAATCGTTACAAATTACATCGTGATGATTATATAAAATAAAAAAAAAAAAAAAAGGAAAACAGAAAAAGTCTATAGCGCTTTAAGTCGCAAAAAATGTAGCGTGATATTCGCGTAAGTTTCGTGTTCATCCTCACTGGCATTCCGTTAGTTTCTCGGGCGGCTGCATGACAGCAATTTTTTACGCACGTACGTTCGCACGTGCTCATGTAAAATATTCAAGTAATACATAAGAGACAAAGAAAAGTTTGAATCCTAGAGTGTGTGTGCGCTCCGTCGCATGCATTTCGCTTTTGCATAAAAATCGAACAAGATCAGATATGCTCGTACACACGTCAGGATTTCGGTAGTTTCCCATCTCTCGACGACAGCTTTGCGCACGTGTCCACGTTGCGTAATAAGCGCAATTCTTCTCAGACTATTCAGATAGTGTTTGTTTCTCGTAAAAAAAAAAAAAAAAAAAAACTAATCGTTGTTCAAATGTAATAGTTTTTTTTTTTTTTTTTTTAACAAATCTTTAACCTTGAAGAAGATCGCGGCTAACGTTACGATACCCTGGGTATTTTGTTCCGGTACCTAAGTCCAAAAGCTGGCGGATAAAGCCGCAAAGCTGCACGTCCGAGAGCGTGAAAACTGTACGAAATTCTGCGACTTGCTCTATGTATATATATATATAATATAATTCTGGCTTTTAGTTACAAAAAATATGATGTGAAAAAGATGCGCATGACCTTCTAAAGCCTTATATTTTACAGCACTCTAGCATTCGTTAGAAATCTGCGGTGTGTGATCAGTAAAATGATGATAATGATGATAACGATGATGACGATACGATACTGCAAAGTTACTGAAATTTACGTCTCGTGAAAATGCTGCCGGAAGGACGAACAGATCTCGAAGGATCTCGCTCGAATTGACAATTTTCGATATTACATTGGTAAAAAAAAAAAAAGAAAAAAAAGGATAAAATCGCGCTTGAAATCAAGCTCAAAAAAATTGGACAAATTTTATTTGACCAAGAAACACACATCGCGTGAACCTTAACGTTGTCGTGGCGAAATTTTCGCGGCGATCGATTCTTCGGCCGCTGATCTCGATTTGTTCGTGTCTCCAACGTATAGACGCGCGATAAAAATTTATCGTTGCTCACATCCAAGCGTAATGTGTACAGCACAAGTGCGCGTTATATACGTGTGATATACCTTCCGGATGAGCACAGCACTACGGGACGCATTACGGTATTCGCCGCGGCGAATAAAGGCGAAGGAAGCGCGCGTGTGTGTGTGTGTGTTCAAAGTGTTCCCGAATGACAATGACAAATTTCATCCGAAGAAAGAAATCTTTGACCAATATACGGTCCGATCTCTCTTCGGTCGGATTTATTCCCACACTTCTCGGTGAAATATCTTCGAAATAAAAAATCACTCGATAGAAAAAGAGTTGATTTATACAAAATAAAGATGAAAGTCAGATCAGTTCTTTTAAATTGCTAGTTTGTTTTTTTCTTTTCAAGGGGGGAAAGTGGAATCGAAGCTCGTCAGTGTCACACGAGAAACACACGTTATTTTATCGTTTCAGGGGAGATATGATGCGGTTTAATCTCCCATTTGCTTAATTAAAAACGTAACGAAGTAAAGACATGTGACTTTTATTTAAAAAAAAAAAAAAAAAAAGAACTTTTATTTCAATGTGTCACTCGAAACGAAATATTTCTAACAGATCTGTTTTCTCCACAATTTCTCTCTCACGATGTGTCGAATTGTGTAATAGCAATAAATTTCTCGGAGACAAAAAAAAAAAAAAAAAAATACACAACTCTCACATTAATAAAACCAAAATGATCAAAATGCAAATGCAAGATTAACCCCGCGGAGAGACACGTGCATCGCGCGCGCTGCCATACAGAAATATAATATTCATGAATATGTTACATATATACACATGTACGAATATATGTATAATATTTGAAACAGGTATTATATATATACGTATATATAATGTAATATACTTTGTAATATATATCATATACATCGCAGAGAGAGAGAGGTGGGTATATATATATATATATATATATTAATAAAACTGCCTCAGAGAGAGTCGTGTATAAACGACACAATCATAATAATAATAATAATAATAGATAATAACAATAATAACAAATGTAAATCCAAACGACAAAGGGATAATAATAATAGTAATAATGATAATAATAATAATAGTAACAATAATAAAGTGTACGTAGCGAGCGAAAAAAACGGCAAAAAGGAAAAAATTGATAGAAGAAATAAATACGTAAGAAAAAAATGAGAAATTGCCTAAAACTCGGCCAGGGCGGCAGGACGTTCACGGTGAGCTCCTCGTCGGAATCCTGATGGGACCGTCCGCTCACGGTCCTGGTCACGCCGATCTGGCCTTCCCCGTCGGTCTTGTACCTTCACGGAAACAACAGGCCAGCCAAGCAACACGATCAACAAGATTACATTCAGCAGCAAACAGCCACGGAAGATACAAAAATAACGTTTCCGCAAAATAAAATATATAGTTCTCCGTGCCAGTCGTTCACTTTCTCTTTCTCTCCTCATTCGTTTCTTTTTCTTCCCTTTCTGTCTCTTTCTTGCACGTGTCACACGTGCGGAATGTTACATGTGCACGCGCGCAAAAATACATTTAAATTGCAGAAAACAATATTGTATAGAATAAATATTGTATATGTAAAATTGTTTTTTTTTTTTACACAATCTTCGAAGAGCGGTTCTACATAATTTTTACACATATGTCCTTTTTTTTTTTAATGTGTTTTTCAACCATCTTCAACCCTCACAGTATCGGGCTTTTGTGTGTATGTACGTTTTTAAATTTTAAGTTAATTATCGATTATGAGAAAATCCCAACCAGATTATCTTTTTTTATAGCATGTTATTTAATAATTATTTTATGAATATAATTGCGCACGTGTGTTTTTATACACAATAGTAATAAATAAAAGTAATATACAAAACTCTCGGTGATTCATTATGTACATTGTATGTACATCGAAAAATATACATTCGCTCGTAAGCTGGTCGCGGACATACAAAATTACAAATATACTTATTTGTTGCAATTTGCGAACTTTGCAACGAACACATATTTATCTCTCTCAATTTGTTTTGGTTTTATTGCTATATAATAGATATAACTTAGATTTCTTAAGTCTATATATATATATATGTAACACAAAAAAAAACTAATTAAAACTAATATTTTCCTACCTTGAGAAGATCTTGCGAACCAGATGATCCTGAGCTTGGTCCAATTGCGGCTCATTCTTTCTTCTCTCGGCCAATTCTTTTTCTCGTCGAACATCGGCGACTTTTCGGAAGATGAGCTGCGACACAGAGATTATTCAACTTTTTTTTAATACACGTACGTACGTAATCAATTGTCACATAAAAACATGGCTTTAATTTTATATATATATATATATATATATATTTATTCTTATGTTACAATTACGGGCTCGGCATTAAAAAAATTCGAAAACTTTCAAGAGCGACTGTCTCTCCGAGAGCGAGGTAAAAAAAAAAAAAAACTAAAATCTAAGATCGTTTTCCAAAATGATACTTAACAGCCAGGCGTTTTCGCGCCAACGCGAAAATCGCGTGAAAACAGCCTACGGTGTTGTGCTTCGGCTTTGACATATTACGCACATGCGTCGTTTTAAGTATAACACGCTATCTGTGCGTCGTCCGTGCGGATCGACCTCATCCTCACTATCTCGTTTGAAAATTGCATAACTCGTGCAAACGCGACTATTCTCTTTGAGCGAGGTCGCGCGTTTCCGCGCGTTCTCTCTCTCCTTCTTGCACAACCCCCCCCTACCGAACTTTATATCCCTCCTCCCATCCAATCGCGTTACTCGACCTTGCGCGTATCGAGTTATCGACCTCGCGCGAATTCGCCTCGGAATTTCTTCTTATCGCACGAAGATTCTCTGTGCGCGAACAAACATAGAAACGGCGGTTTAGACGGTTGCACTTCGGCGGGCAAGTGCGAAGGTCAGCGGCGCAGGCGTGATGCGAAAAGTCGATGGGTGTCGTCGATAAGATGCTCGCTCGCTCGTCTCGCTCGTCTCGCGCATAACCTGGTGGTATAACCTACAAATTCGCCGTTGAGTGCGTCCGCCGAACGCACGTCGATTGTCGTCGTCCGTGCGGCGACGTGACGTGACGTGTTGACGCGTGACGTTCGCGACTCGAGCGCATCGCGACACGTGTCATAAATCCGAAATAGGTGGTGCAAAGAGTAGTCTTCCCTTACGCGTTCCCGATATCGTTCCGGGATAATCAGGAGGACGACGTCGTGAAAGTTATATGGACTGTCGGAACGGATTGCTCGTTCGCGCAAAACGTACGTAAGGCACGCATTGTAATACACAGTAATGTATCTCCTATCATCAGTAGTGTTAATCTATCTTTATATCATCAGTAGCTAATTTCAACGTGATAAAGAATGATGTGTGAAGAGTAGCTCAAAAAATTTTAAAACAAATGAAAATGACCTAAACCAGTGGTCGAAAACGTTTTACATTAATACAAGAATTTTTTTACACTACTCCACCTGTGTTTTGCCTCAAACTGCCACCATCTCAAACCTTCATTTGTGATAAAGAATCTTGATTTGCGCAAATTTTATTTTTAGATGGGTCATGGGTCCAGCCGTTCATCCTCGTCAACGAATATCCTCTCCCTGGAGGAGCTGGCGCTTGTGGAGAATATCTTTAAGTCGATGTCACGTAGCTCGGGTTCAATCAAACGAGAAGACATATTCAAACACTGGTCGACCCATCTGGACGAGGTGTTGCTTCAGTTTGTGATACGATTTCTCTGTCACGACCCGGGCAAGAAAGTCTCGACTATCAACGGCGAGAACTTCGGCCGGCTTTACGCCTTTGCCGTACGCGGCAGTCCCGAGGAACGCACAAGTCTTATATTCGATGGTTTCTCGGAAGAGGAAAAAAAGTACGAAATGCCCACCGCTACGTTCCTTCAGTACATTCAAGCAACGATTAACTCCTACTTGCGACTGCAAAAGAATTCAAGCAACGCTCATTACCTCACCTGGAGCAGCATCGGCTGCACCGTCAACACCAGGCGTATACAGGTGCGTTCTCACAGTCTGTGCGAAGACCTGATCAAATACGGGGACGTGTTAACCGTCGATCAAGTCGAGACCTGGTTTGTGACCGCGACCACGTTCAAGAATATTCAGTCGCACGTCTTCCAATATCTATTTCTGATCTCGCAGAAGAAGGTAAGCGACAAGAATCCAGCTATGCGGATAAACGATTTGAATCTTCTGCCGTTGTGCAAAGGTTTGGAGAACATACCGCATTTTCCGAGCATATTAGGTTTGGGAGACGTTCTGTTTCTGAATCTAAGCCTGCCGCACGAGTTGCGGAATGAGTGGCGATTTTTGTTTTCGAGTCAGGTGCACGGCGAGTCTTTCTCCACCATGCTGGGTAGAATTGTGATGCAAGGCGCCACGATTATTATACTTCAAGATATGGACGACCACGTGTTCGGCGGTTTTGCCTCCGACAGCTGGAAGCTGGGACCGAACTTCATAGGAAATCAAACGTCGTTTTTGTTCAAGCTCGAGCCGGACATATTGACGTTCTCGGCGACGAATTACAATAATCATTATCAATATCTCAATCTCCATCAACAAACTATGCCTAACGGTCTGCTAATGGGCGGTCAGTTGAATTATCCCGGCCTCTGGTTGGATTGCGAATACGGTACCGGCAAATCGAGCTTGTCGTGCACGACATTTCAAAATTACATACGCCTCAGCGGCAAGGAGAACTTCAAAATCAAACACTGCGAGGTCTGGGGAGTCGGTCCTGTGCCGGACGTGGAGGAGCAGGACGCGCGCGAAACGAAATCCGTGCTGAATCAAGACGAGACAGCAAAAACAATGATGGAATTGTCCGGTCGTAAGTTGTACAGCAAGGAGCTCGGCTTGGATAATCAAGAGTAATTTGTGATATGAAATCCTGAGAGAGATTTTTATGGAAAGCTCATACACACAAAGTCGACAACGACGACGAGACGAACACGATGCCGGAGAGCTGTCCGATTGTAAATCGCAACAGCGAGAGTGTCTTCGCGAGGGTGTCAAGAATAATTGTGATATATACGAAATATTGAGATTTTTATGGGAACTCGGAACCAGAGTGAAAAAAAAAAAAAAAAATATGTTGTACAGATGTTTGCAGGGTAAAACTGCAGAAAAGGGGAGCAGCTTCCGATGACCTTGAGCTTAGGATATATTGTCAAGATCGTGGCCCCGAGTAAGGTTCCGCAGGTTTTATCCGGCGGTCATTGTTTGTTTACAAGTTATTATAAAAAAATGTTTTACAAATTATCCCTTATTTTTCGACATCATGTACATTGAAACAGTAAAACATGTTGTTCCTATCGGAGCATTACATACCTACGTACGACCTTGACATATTATATCAACATATGTCTTTGGTTTGATTTCCTCATTGACAACATGTATAGCTTGCCAGTTCGTGTCGAACCTTATGTAGAATTTTGCTAAGCATGGAAAGTGTATGCGCGGAAGAAGTGTGTTCCGCCCCCCCTGCGGGGGGGCTCCACTATCCAAAAACTAGACACATAGATTTGGGTTGAACCTCGTTTTGCGTGAGAAATGCATGCGTGGATGCAATGAAACTGCGATTACGTCGCTATATGATTTGTTTTGATTTCTTCGTTGCGATACACGTATATACCTATTATTTTCACGAGGGGGGAGCAGGGAGGAGGGGCGAAGCCCCTCCACCTGCGAGGATAAAACCTGCGGAACCTTACTCGGGGCCACGACATTGACAATATATCCTAAGCTCAAAGTCATCGGAAACTGCTCCCCTTTTCTGCAGTTTTACCGTTTGCAGATAGTTAAGATTTGATTGATCAATTTGCGGAATGAAAAAAAAATCTAAAATCCGTTAAAAATGTAAAATCCGTTAACGATTCTATTAACCTTTTCGCTCCGGAGATTTTTCCTTTAAAATTGACCTCGTATTTTAGCTGAAAAAGTTAATAATAACCTGCTACCCCCCCCTTCAAAGTTAATTTTGAAGGTCAAGGAAGTAACCAGGATTTTTTTCAATTTTTTTCCTAAATTTAGTGCATTAAATTGACCTTATAAACATCTATTACGTTCGCTTTTCTTGTTGGTCCATATATGGACCAGTCCCGGAGCGAAAAGGTTAATTGTATAATGATTTATATATATATATATATATATATGTGTGTGTGTGTGTGTGCGGTATCAGTTGTGAAGAAAAAAAATCCCTTCGTTTTACGCGAACATATCTACGTGGTTGAAGCAGATCTGCGCGATGACGCCGCGAGAGGCAATCAAAAAAAAAAAAAAAAAAAAAAAAAAAAATCTGTGAGAAAAAACGAAGTATCGATTTATGTATTACAAAATGTCTGAGATATTTTGAGCGAAGTTTCGTCTGTCTGAAACGACACATGGTTCCTCTAATACAAATTTTTACTGAAACTTGCGTGAGGCTATTTATTTGTAATTATTTATGTATGTATATTATATTAGGACTTTTGTCCCTTTTTTATAAACGGCCTGACATTTTTTGACTTGCGACTTAGTTTTTCGAGTAATTCAATTATTATTGTACATTTACATATACAATTTCATTATAATATTTCATTATATGCCCATGAATTTCAGCTCTATGATATTAAAGGATATATATATATATATGTATATATATGTATATGTATATATATATATATATCATCGTTGTCAATCGTTGCGTGGCCTGAATGCCTATTACCTAGTGCCTGACGAAATCGTTATTAATTGTTAATTTATTGTTCTCTGCGTATGTTAAATTACTCGTAAACGAATAACCGTTGCCATTGAAAATTACTCTTGTTAACTAAGAGACTGTATACTCGTGTCACATTTGTGTATAATGAAGAAAACCAAAGAAAGAAATAATTTGTGCAAACAACACACACACCGATTGTTTGCGACTACAAATGTCAAACTGGAAGCGTCACGCTATATAATTGTAAAGATCTATGAAAGGTTCAATAAACAATCAAAATCTACGTATCATCGCGTTTCTTTGCTGCTTGTGTGTGTGCAATCGCACGCTAGGGTAAAAGACCCAATTACCGTCACCCGAATAATAAACATATGTTAGTGAATTGTTTTTACTACTTATATTTATTCAAAAACATGTGTTTTTCTTCTTATCTGGTATTATTCGATGTCTCTGATATAAGGAACAAAATAATACCGCCTCTCAAAATCTCTATTTTTTTATTTATAAATTTAATAATTAAAAAAAGAACGATGCGAGAGCTATTACTGTCACCCCCTACCCGGGAAAAAATGGATTAAATCTAAATAGATCTAATTTAAATCTAACAGGATAAAAAAAAAATGGAAAACTAGATCTAATTAGATCCAAATTAGATCTAAATAGATATAAAGTAGATCTAAATAGATATAAGTAAATCTATGTAAATTTACACTTTATTTATCATTAGATCTACTTTAGATCTACTCAGATCTACTATATTAGAAACAGGAATCAAATAAGGCCGATACGAGCCATTCGCAGGATGTTTGTGCGGAAACTATGCGTGTACAAATATATATATATATATAAATGTAACAAATTTTACTTGTAAATTTTTACAAGTATTTTTTGAATTGAAATCTCAATTCTTAAAATCATACGGGATGCTAGATTTGCATCTCACATATGGAAAACCCCGGATACCCCCCTAACTAATTTTACAATATTGCGAAAAAAACTCCTCGGCCAGGAGTCGAACCTGGAATCTCCGGCTTTCCGTGCCATCGCTTTCCCTGTTAGGCTGTTTTTTTTTTCGGATCTGCTTAGTTTTGTTTAGATCCGCTTAGATCTAATATAATAAATCTGAGTAAATCTACTATATAGATCTAAAATAGATATACTGATAAATAAAGTGTAAATTTACATAGATCTATTTATATCTGTTTAGATCAACTTTATATCTATTTAGATCTAATTAGATCTATTTTTCCATTTTTTTTTATCTCGTTAGATTTAAATTAGATCTATTTAGATTTAATCCCATTTTTTCCCGGGTAAAATGAAAGAAATGAGACGCGAATGTTGAGTGCTGGATTTTTTGTTATATTAATTGCACTTAAAATTCTACGTTAGATTGTTTTCGTGCATAACTTTTTAGGATTTATTTAATATTTTAAATAAAATAGCTTGGGGTGACAGTAATTGGGTCTTTTACCCTATTCCTTACGAACTCGTCCAAATCCACGTTCGAGGAGAAAAATTAAAAAAAAATTCGAAGAGAAAACTCACCCGGTGGCTCAAGTTGTAAGTCAGGATCAGGTTTCTGGCGAAGGAGTTCGCGAAGGCTTGGTAAAAGTCCAACACCTCCAGCAACCGATCCCGTTTGATGGTGTGCAAATCGCAGTAAGTGAGCGCCCTTACGTTAGCCGCGCTCTGACCGATCGACGGATTCGTCCAGAAACTGTCGCCGAAAACGTCACCTTTTCCCAAAATCGCCACCACCTCGTCGTCTTGTATAACCTCGAGGCTGCCGGTCACGATAAAGCACAGCGAGTCGATCGACTCGCCCGTGTGATAAAGCAAGTCGCCGGGTGCGCTGTGCGACATCGTGAAGTGCATCGCCAAGGCGCGCAGACATCCATCAGACGCTAATCTGAAACAACGTAAATAAATACCGGATAGCGTTTTTTATTTAAAAAAAAAAAAAAAAAAAAAGAAAGGAGCAAGAAAAAAATAAAGTATCGAGTTGCTCTTGAAAATCCTAATTAAGTGAATTGAAATGTTCGCTAAAAGTGACGCTAACTTTTTTGGCACGACGAACCAGCTTCGAATATTAAAAAGACAGAAATCTGATACAGTTTATATGTAAGTCGACGTAACTTTTGCGACAAATGTGAAGAGATGATGGAATAGGATAGAGATTTCACCTAAAGGCAGGATGCTCGTTGAAGACTTTTCGGTTGAGATGTACGCAGATATCGGCCTTCATATCTTTCGGGCAGTAGTTGAGAACTTTATCCGTGTCCAAGCCTTTGGTCATTGCCCACGTGCTGACGACGTAATCCATCACGCGCTCGCTAAGAGCTTTCGGTACCTCGTGGAGTTTCATAAATTCTCTCACGTTGTTCAACATGTCGTGATACTTGGCGGTGGCGGAAGTCATTTGCTGAATGATCGTGGTGACATGACCGAAGATCGTGGCGTACAACAGGGCTGGTCGAGCGAAAGAGAGAGACAGAGAGAGAAAAAGAGAGAAAAAAGAAACAACAAGAGATTAGATTTTTTATTTCACACGCAATTCACGCACACACACTCTCGACTTAATTTAATCGCACAAACACGCATTCGTTAACTACTACTTTCTCTAGAAAACGCGCAATTGATTCTTTCCAGGGACTTATACCGGTATGCAAAATACCGGTATTTTACCGATATTTTTGGGTAATACTATGAAAACCCTTTTATGCAAACCGAAATGCAGAAATACCGGTATGACGTCATACCGGTATATTTACCCATATTTACCTATATTTACCGATAATTTTTTCGTGATTTTTTTAAAGTAATATCTTAAAACTATAAGTGTTGTCATTATGCACCGAAAAAATTATATTCTTGTTTTGAGGATATCCCACTTACTTTAAGTATATTTTATACTAAAATAGGCGCCAAGAA